TTACCTTCCCAAATTGTCAAGAAATGAGCTAGATATGTAACATCTAAGAGGGCATTAGATCTGTTTGGGACTGGCTGCAGATGGATTTCTGAACAAAAAAGGTTTTAATTCCAGAATGGATTAATTTGGCAGCAATATTTCCTCATGAAGTAGTGGGCAGAAAAGACTGAGTCCAGAAAGGTTGTTTATCCTCCTGTATCAAGCACAAGTTGGTTTTGTATGTTAGGGTCTCATTTCCCATAGCGTCAAATGACAATTTTGCAAGCAGTAGTGGCAGCTTAATTGGTAAAGTTATTATTCTGCTTTTTGAAAAGGCTTGAAGTGAGTTATGAAATTAACTGAGCTACTTTGTTACATCCTGCAATTCATTATGATCTGTCTATGCATCAGTCTGAGGAAACATAAATGAACACTTTGCTGTTCCCTGGTTTGGGCTGGCCCCTCTACTTTGGTACACTCATTAAAAGGATGGTGATAGTCCTCCTGCAGTGGAAATGAAGGCATGCTGCTTCCTGATCTTTGTGTGTTACATTAGTGGGATTATGATTGTGTACCAACCAGGAGAATTTCATGCCAAATCATTTCACCTTCTGTCTTGCCTCCAGTACCTGAATTTCTGCCCAAATTTACACCCAGTGAGTAACATTTATCATGGCATTAGCTCAGGATTGAGTTTGGCCTGTTATTTTCTGCACTTGATTGCTTTGGCTTGAAAGCCACCATTAAAGCTGTCTAAATTAAACTGCTTGTGCTCCTTTACCATGAGGGAAGAGCTAGTTCATTGTAATGGAAATTTTATTTCTTCTCTGCTGTGACTATGCAGTGAAACAATTCGTTTTAGCAGGCTTAATGGTACAGTATTGACTGAAGTTGTTCTACAATTTTAATAGTCCTTAATCTTTAAGCAGATGCAATAAATTAGTTCTATAAAGGAGTAATGTCTGTGTTTAACACAGTGCAGTATGTATTTTTGTAAAGCCCTAGGGGGAAACAGCCCCTCAACCTTCAGTGGGCAAAGAAGACCTTAAAGAAGAGCAGTATTAGAGCTTTAAAGCAAAACCATCTGGTGCTTGTGCCTGTATCTGAACCTGATGCTTTTCCATTCAGAACATAAAAATCTTCAGAACTTTTGAATAAAAGGTCAAATTGGGAAAGACAGTTTCTTTGCTGTTCAAAAATTGATCAGTTTTAACAGCTGCTTCTTTCTAGGCCTTTTGTGTTGTCATAATGCACAGAATGAAAGATTGCAAGATGCTTTGTGGTATTGATCATAGTCTTTCTAGAGCCAACTGATTTTTCATTAAAGCTCAAGTTGATGGTTCTTAAAAAAAAGCCCCAAAGCCAAAACCCAGGGAAAACCAATTTTGGAGAGATCATAATAAATTACTCTGATATACTGTTGATTGTACTTCAAAGTCTGCACTGCCTGAGACTGTGATCTCATACACAGTGGACTCCAGACAACTCAGAAAAATGTGGCCAGTTTCCATGCCAGAATGGGTTAGGAGGCAGAGCTTGGCCTTCTCTATTTCTCAGAATTGCTGGAAATTTCTGTTCCAGAGGGGGCTGCTTAATCAGACTCCAAATATTTAACCACTTGCTCTTTTCTACTCTGTTGCAGTGTTTCATTTTATGAATGTGCTACTAAAAGATTTGCTGCAGGATTAATGTATTTCTGGCTTGGTTACACTGTGTTACTATATTATTCTTGGTTTTTTCCTCAGCAAAATGGTAGGTCAAATCTGTTCTTCAGACTAATGCAATCCCTTCCTTTATATTCTAATATTTTCCTGAAACTGAAATCTAAAGATTGATTTGTTTGGAAGTCACAATGCTACACTAACTGCTGCAATAGTTGTATAATGATTGCTTCAAATCTTCTGACAATGTCTTTCCCTGTATTTTTCTTGCAGCTGAGCGAGATATCAATGTTTTCTGTGGAGTACAGACAATTACTATGAAGATAAATTTTTGCACAGTTCTTTTTTCTGGTTATTCTGAGACAGATCTGGCACTGAATGGGAAACATGGGGATGCCCACTGCAGGGGCTTCATCAATAACAACACCTTTCCAGCAGTGGTCATTTTCATCATCAATCTGAGTACTTTGGAATCTTGTGGAAACACTTTAGTGGTAAGACCAAGTCAAAGCAAAATTATAGCTATGTATACATAGGATCAAGTGAATGCCCTTGACAGCATTGTGTCTTTCATAGATAACATTTACTTGGTTTTATCCAGCTGGAAACATATTGCATACATCGAAGAAAACCAGAGGAAGCTGGTAACTTATAAGAGACACACATCTGTCCTCTGATTAGAAAATATATTTTTTATTTAAGTATTTTTTCAGTGGAAGAATGAGATTTTTCCAAGGTGTTTCTAAAACCCTTGCTGACCATGCCTTAGATTTTGCAGAAGTGGAGAGTTTGACAGTTCTTGTCTATCACATTGAGTGATATCAAAGTACCTATGAATAACTTTAAAAAACAAGTTTAAAAATGTATTGTTTTGAAGGCTTTTATTCTCTCCAGAATTCTTATTTGCACTTCATCCGTGTCAATTTTTATAACAAACCCCCTGTTTTGTTGCTAATAATTTTGCTGAAATGTTTGCTATGCTCTGTGACCTCTTTGCCTTAGGCTGAGTTTTCTTTTAAAATTTCACCAAACAACCAGTTCAGCCAATTCAAGACTCTCTTTTCCAACTGTAGCACCTCTATGTCTTGCAGTAGAATAATTTTGCAGGAATCAACTTCTTCCTGTTCCTGTGTAGGTGGTCACCTTGTAAACTCCCTGAACTTGCTATTTGATCATAATTGCAAGAGCCTGATGTTTAAAAACAAAACAAAAAGACCCCTCAGTCTGATAAGTCCAAATAATTGGAGCTTCCCATGAAGTTCCCACTAGGCTGCACTGAATACAAAGACAAAGCAGCTGCTAAAAATATAACAAAAAATATTTCCCTATCCTCTCTGTTTATTCACGCTGTGCCCCCAAATGAAGACAAAAATGGAGCAGGGAGCATTTCTTATCATGTTCCTCACACTGGAGTTTTACAGTCCCCTGCATTTCTTGGCAATGTTTCACAGCAAAGACCTTCAAGATAATTTTCAATAAAAGTAAAGGAAAGACAACAGTTTGGCAGAACTTGTGTAAAACCCATGTCTTTCTCTAAAACCCATTTTTCTGTAATACAGCAGACTCAGCTTTTTACTTGATGGGGGGTAGGGTGGTGAGGAAGTTAAAAAAGCTTTAGTTGGCTCTACTAATTTAGCCTGTACTGTTTAGGCAAAAACTCAGGCAAAATGTTACAACTCATGTGCACCTCAGGATGATTCTTCCCGAATGAAATGTTTTTTAAAGAAAGCACGTGTTTTAAAGCTACTGAGAACACCTTTTTGCTAATAGAGTTGTATAAAAGAGATGCTGCAGTAGAAGTCCAGTGCCGTGTCAGTTTGCTCAGTTGTGTCTGTGCCTGCTGAGAGAGGAATTTGTGCTGTTCTCAGTCGTTTGCACACAACCCCCTCATTCAGACCAGTAGCTACAGATGGAGTGAGGCTGGGCTGATACCAGCAGGGAAGTTTTCCCCTGTTTTCCCCTCAGTTTTCCTGAGGGCTGTGTGTTCTTGCAGGCTCTGCACACTCTGACCCGAGCAATACAGAATAGTACATGCCCATGGATGCAATTCAGGTTGCATTGGCATTAATTTCTGACAGCTTATAGTTTATATTTAAGATTTAGAAATATATAATATAAACAAAGCCACGCTCAAAGTTCACCTGTTTGGCTTGTGGCTGCTTATAAAGTACCTTATTTTTGATGTGTCCATACTGAAACTCAACAGTGAGAGAATATTTTTTCTGTAAGCGAAATTCTTTGTGCACTGGCCTTTTTATTGGATATAGCAGCTCATTGTAAGGTAATATTTTTTAATTGTAATAGGGAAGTTGCTTTAGTTTTTCCCAATAAGTTGCATGAATTCATTGGGAATGTAGAAGGAAAAATACCTACCAAAAGTATACTTGCAAGATTCATAATTCTTTCCAAATGTTGCTCAAGTCCGTTCTAAGAACAGGGATACAGCTTGTGAATTTTAAATGCATGATTCCAGGGAGGTGAAAAACAGAAGACAGGGAAGATATTATTAAACTAAATAATTTTGAAAGCTTTAGTGAAGATATTTCAGGCTAAATTATGGGCTAAACCATCAGCATCCTTAAGTCCTTTTGTTCCACAGTTAACTTCAGCTAATAGCAGTTTTCTCTCTTCCTCCATAGGTATCCTCAGCTCGAGGTATCAATGCTTATGGAAATACCTCAGTGGTACAGATAGGCAATGTTTCAGGCTACATTGATACACCAGACCCACCCACGATTATCAGCTATCTGCCTGGGCTCCTGTACAAATTTAGCTGTAGCTACCCACTGGAGTACTTGGTTAACAATACCCAGCTGGCCTCGTAAGTGTGTCTGTTCATTTCTGCCTTTGCATCCCCATGCTTGTGTGAGCATCTCTATGTACATGCCATAACAGCATCATCCATGGAGCAATCTTTGGCTGTTTAAGAGTAAAGAGAAAGGAAAAAGGACCAAAAGAAGAAGTGTTGCAAGAAAAAAGAAAATTCTGTAGCGTTATTATATGAGATAATATAATTAATGGAGACCTGCTGTTATGAAGAGACCCTTAGATAATGTGAAACGTCCCTTAAAATTCAGGTGTTCTTACCAAAAATTATAGCAGCAAAAAAACAAATTCGTTATGAAATAGTTTGTAAGATTTTAAATATAGAATGCAAGAGAAAATATTTCTGTGAGTAAACCTTGTACATCATGTGAAGTGAGTTCCTTTTTGTCACTTTGCCTCTCTGCTAATTATTTTTCTGATTCATGTTTTCAGTAGCATCCATTATTTTCTGCATAGTTAAGACTGTCAGTACTTCCACTATAAATTCCTGTTTCTGAAGTTTATAACCCAAATGCATAAATTAACTCCTTGTGATATGACTCATTGAGTTTTTTAATGATAAAGCCCACTGAAGTGTGCAAAAACAAAAATAAGGTATCTTTCTTCATGATGGTTTTTGGTTTCTGGTTCTGTTGTAGGTCATCAGCTGCTATTTCTGTAAGAGAGAACAATGGTACATTTATCAGCACTTTGAATTTGTTGCTTTACAATGTAAGTATAAAACACAGTATGACCTGGACTAAATGAATCTCTGTGCTATGTGGATACAAACTGTTTCAGCAGATGAAAGTATAGATTCCTCTTCATAATTTGCTGTTTCCTTCCTGTTCCTCCCATGAGCCAAACCTTTCTTCAAGGCATCTTTCATCTCTGAATTCCTTTTTGCTTTTTGTTGGCATGTACCTGCTGTCTGTGTTTCTATGGCTGGTCTTTGAGGACAGACACAGTCTTGTTGTCCTGCACTTTAAAGGAAATTCCTCAATTTACAGCTCTGGATTTCAGCTGGTAGTGCCACATGACAAATCAATTGTGGCCACAACAATCATACTCCAGAGTGCATATTTTGTTTGCATTTATTATGTTTCTCTGTGCGTGTATAGGTGCTTTGTGCTTAAACAGAGACTACTCTGTAGAATTCTGTAAAATTATTCCAGCCTTATTCCCACAGCAATGAACTGTAGCACTTTGGCTGTGGTATTTTTATGTTCAAGCCTCATCAGAGTGTTTCAATCATCTGTGATTGTTGTGAAAGATGCATTAGTTCCAAATCTATAGCCTGATGCATATATTGCCTTACAGCGTGGACGTTAAAGATTTTAAGGGTTAATAATTATGACAGTTTTCATCCAATGCTTCTTCCTTATGTTTTAGATCATTTGAATATGCATTATTATAAAAGCTTTTACCATGTAAATGATTTGGTGACACTGAAACATGAAAAATGCAAGGACCTCTACTTAACATTAATCCCTGAAATTATATTTTTGTGTTGATTAAAATTTTTACTCATACATTTTAAATACCTGATTTAAATATCAATTTTTCAATCTATCAAGCATCATTTTTGTATATTATGAATCCAATTTTTTTTGCATTATTATTCATGCCATTGTGTTGCTGAGTTATAATTCATGCAACTGATTTAAAAGTCAATGCTTTATGCTTTGAACATAATGAGCTATAAATATTGCAACAGGACATTTTTCAATGGCACTCTCTAAAAAATCATGTTTGTTTGAAAGAGCAGAGCTCCAAATAAAAACCTATAATCTGTTAAAATGATGATTATAGTTCTCTCATTTTTAAATAAATCCATGATCAAAAAGATGGGGCAGAATGAAAATAGGCAAATTTCTCATCAAGCCAAGTATTGACCACTGCACGTTGATACCTTCCAGGGCCCAGCTCAGCAAACAGGCAGGAATAAATGCTGTTGATGCTCATATTGAGTACATTTTTTCCTCAGATATCCCCAAAAGCCAAAATATGCTTTCATCTTCCCCACCCCTGTTGACTTATTTCTTAATGTTGACTTATTTCTTAATGTTCATCCCCTAAGCTCACCTCTGCCTTCTGTCACAAAGTGTTGAGATTTACTTTGTGATGCTAGTACATGTCATTGGTAGGAAAGAGAAGAGCTGTTATGGTAGACTCAGAGTTTAATAGCAAAATATTTAATGGACTTTCACAGAGCCTAAGTGGCTATGTGTTTTTATGCCTTTTTGCAAATGTCTCTCTAAATGAATAAAAACTACTCTTAAAGAATAAAAGAGCAACTATGGAGTCTAATAGTGAGGGTCTTGCACTTTTTAATCAGTTGCAAAATGTGGCAGAGCTAAGTGTTATAGAAATGTATAATTAATTTGAAAGAAGGCAAACCTACCTGAAGGACTCTGATATTGCATAGATTAGATATTGGGTATGCTGTTAATTTTGGCATTTGAAAAAAATCACTTGGTCTCTGGTGTAAACCTTCTTGTTGCTGTCAGCTGCTGCTTGACATGGTCTCGATTGCCACAATGAACTGATTTAAATCCTATCTACCAGTTTTTTTCATATGTATTGAGTGTTTTGAACTTTCACAAGAGGTTTCAACCGTGCTATCTGCATTAACACTGTGTTTCACACAGGTGATTTTACCAGGTAGTGCATTTTGCCATTCTCGATTAATATCTGTTGCACAGATGTTTCATTGTGTTGTTGCTAAAGTGATGTTAATGATTTAGATTTTGAGCAAAAAGCCCCAGTAAAACAGCTATATTTAAGTAGTAGTATATGGGGAATTCCCAACTTTTATGTTGAATACAGCTTTCTTGAAACAGCTCTTCTGAAACAGATTTTAAATGAAAATGTTTGTTACTTCTAGTTTTCCACAAGTCAGCTTGCATAGAAACTACACTTTGCATAAGAGAAAGTCTTTGTTCTCCCAGATTATAGTTTAAAATATATAGCATCCCATGGATAGCATTGCTATCTCTATTAGTTCAAATAACCTTAGCAACCTTTCCTGGAAAAGAGTGCAGCGTGACAACCCAGTAAAGCTCCTCTGCTAGAAAACCTGAGCAGCTCCTTTGTGTGCCTGTGAGCTCTGGGAGACTTACTGAAGTGTCAATGAATGATGTTTTCCTTAATCACTGATTCAACCACCCTATTAAATCATATATTCTCCCAGATTGTTGCATGGGGCAAAGCCAGTTTTTACAGACAAATTTGTAGGCAATTTCTCTGGCATTGCTCCTTGCTTCTTCCCTCACAGAGGACAAAGTAAACAATCATTCTACACAGAAGGGTCAGGAAAATTACTGAGAGCTCAGTCTGGATGCAGATGGGTTGTTAGAGTGGAATTTCTGTTACAATTGAGGCAATATTTGTTTTACAGGATTCAACCTACAACCAGCAACTCCTTATTCCAAGTACAGGTTTACCTTTGAAAACCAAAATATATGCAGCTGTAAGAGCAACGAACCTTGATGGCAGGTACCATGGAGGGTGTTATTTCTTCTCTTGCTTGCTTTTCAGCTCTTGTTACTTATCTGATTTAGAAGCACCTGTCTTTCCTCATAGCTTTTTGTATTTCAAAATAATGGTTGGTGTTCAATAATCACTGCTCTCAGCTGGAGGGTGTCAGGTCCTTGGTAGTGAATGCATATTTTGCTGCAGTTCTTGTTATGAAAGTTTTCCTGAATTATACTTTAAACCCTATATTGCTTTTACTTAAGAAAAGGCCTCTGTTGGACCAAGAGCTGGAATTCAGGACTTTTAAAAGTGGGCTGGTTTTGATTTCTAGTCCTACGTGGCCATGACTTCTGGAGGAGGTGTGCAGTGTGTGTTGGTGTGGTGGTTGACTTACATGAAGCCAAATGATTTGATTTATAAAGTTCTGCTGTTTAATCTTCTAAGTAGTTGAAGAACCAGGATGACTGGCATGTGACCTGTTTAATGCAGTAACTGAGTTCCACTGCAACAGCCTGCACTACCTGTTTGTGTGCTTTTCTGTACTGTCCTTTCATCTCCCCTCGCTCTCACCCCCCCATGCTTGCATTGCCAGTTGCCCTCATCTATCCCATTACTCCCCGTGCAGGTGGAATGTTTTGATGGACTACTGTTACACCACACCATCTGGCAATCCTAGTGATGATCTTCGATATGACCTTTTCTTCAGGTAGGTCCTGTGCAAACCCAGTATTTTGTTGGTCCCTCTTTAAAAAAAAATTATAAATCTCTTCAATAGCGATGCCTTAAACTGCTTGGAAAGTTTAAGCATTTAAGTAGGCAGGACCAAGGGCTAGGCTTATAGATAAAATGTCAAAGCTTTTTTTTGTATGAACAAAAACATAGAAGTAAGTGCCAAGTCATAAGAATTATGAAGGTAGAAAAGCATATATCCAAAGTAGTTCTGCAAGAGATAACATAAGCGCCTAAAGTGAATGGCTAAACAGGCCTTCATTTTACCAAAGGTGAATGTGGTGAATGGCAGTGATGTAAAACATCAGAGACCTCAGTCCAGGAAAGTAGTTAAGCAAATGATTAAATATAAATAGATGCTCCTACTTCTACTCCCGGTAATAACATTTATTTGAATTGAACTTTGAAAAACATCTTGCCAGTATCTCAGATTAAATTTTATCCATGACACCTAATGGAGAGGTACTGTCTTCATTTGGAGTTACCTGTCTATACTGGTTAGCATACCTGATTGCTTTGTGCTTCAGGTCTCAAGTGTCCTTGACAACTGGAATTAAATGGCACCTTGGTTTAGCTGTGGTGCTGCAAAACAAAACAATGTTTTTGTAGGAACATGTTTCAGCACGGGAACCTGCAGCCTGACAGGCAGATTGTGTCTGCAGATATTTGCACTGTGTTCTTTTCCAAGGAACTGAAGTGTTCATCTTGCTGCTTAAACTATCATATTCATATCATATCATACTAACAGAGCTGCTCATCCCAGTTTCACTCTTCTCCACAAAATTAGCTGTGACAAGGACCCGCAGACAACCATCATTGAGAACGGCAAGAGTCAAATGGGCCGCTTTTCCTTCGAGGTGTTTCGCTTTGTGAAGCACAAGAACCAGAAGATGTCCACGGTTTTCCTTCACTGTGTGACAAAGCTGTGCAGAGCAGATGACTGTCCTTTTCTTGTGCCAGTAAGTTGTAATTATCTGGGTATAAATCCTGGAGTTCTGCTTACAAGTGTTATGGGAGTTTGGATGGCACAGAATGAAAGTGACTTGTAGCGACTGAAGTAAGAATGTTTTTTGTGTCTGAAGGAATGTGAAACTACTGATGAAGAATATGGAAATGAATACTGGCATCTGGAGATAAAATAATATTAGTCTTGCAAAACACAGGTTATTGAATATATGAGAAATTACCTCTTTGCCTTGTGGTCCTTAAGTTTTAAAAGTAACAACTCTGAGATGGCTTTCAGGTTGATGTTCTTAGTATAGTAGTAAGGTATCCATCATCACAGTGGGCATCTTAGAATAAGTTTAAAGAATTTATTTTTAAGAATAAAAGAAATATCTCAGAATATAGTTTATGGAAAAGCTAAAGCTATAGAAAGTGCTGTTATACTGACAGGGAAAATTTGTGGAAGTTTCTCAAAATGAAAAAAAATACTATGCTCCTTAAAGTATATAATCTCCTCTATCATATGAAAGCTACTTTTGTGCTAAAGTTCATGATATAATGTATATTTAAAATTAACTAATTTTAGGAGTATCAGGAATAACAAATTTTGGAAATGGAAACATTTAAATAAACATATAAACACAAAGTTCTGTGCTGTCTTCAGAACACTGCATTGTTTCCTACTGAACGACTTCCCCTTTAGAATTTTAAAGTGTGGTCAGTTCAGTATGCTCCTGAAATTTTGTATGCTATTTTATATTTTTATGTTACACATTTACATAATTCGTTTTGCATCAATTTATGTTCTGAGGTTTTTGAAGTTCCTTCACAAGAAGCTGAAACTAAGGAAATGCTCCTGTTTGGAGCATGCTTGAGCACTGTAGATTAAGGTAGATGGTAGGTTTAAAGGAGGATTCCAGATGAGAGTGTTGGGGGTTGTTTTAGTGTGTCATTGCTATTTAGAACTCCATGGAAGATGTGCAAACTCAAGAAGCTTGCTAGAATAGGGATTGTCAAGCAAAACAGATTTGTTGGGGAGAACTGTAAATATAGCTTTTGGAAATTAACTACTGAAAATTTAATATACTATAAGATGGATCTTGTACACAACAGCAATGTAGTTTTGTAAACAAAGTGAGGCAAAATAAAATGGGAAGCCAGGAATTTATAAGACATGCTTCTAGGCAATATTACAGATGTCTTTATTGCAAAGTGATTTAATGCATACTAAGAAATAAAATCAAAGTTGTAGTATTGCTTTCCAAAGAGTTCATGTTGCATCAAGAAGCACAAAAAGGCCACAGTTGTGTTCCACTCTGAGTCTGTGATTGTTTTGTTTGACCATTCAGATCTGCAGTAACAGAGAAAGAAGGGACGCTGGTGGCAGGACGACGTGGCACCCTCAGAGCACGTCTGGCAACGCTGTAATCTCTGCTGGCCCCATCATTACCAGGAGTGGTAGGAATAAAAAAAAATCTTTCTCTATGGACTGCAGGAATTTCGGAAACCTGAGGAAATGTTTTGCACTTTAATGTAGATTTGCAGTGACTTTTTGCTAAGTATTTTTTTTACTACTGCTGAATATTTTTATGACATTTTTTACTGCTCTGTATGGTAGAAATTCTGAGCTAGTGTTTTTGTTTGGCTCTCACATGCTTCCCCTTCCAATAAAATCACTGTGGGATACTTTTATACATATAAGGCCATTATAAAAGTCCAGACTCAGTGGGTTGACTTCTCTTTTTGTCAGATTTCACTGAAGATAATAGAATTTAAGATACTGTGTTCAGTGTTGCAATTTAATTTGGATGGATAATGAATATTCACTACCACTTTCTATTCACCATTTCTCCAGCTCCCCCCTGGCTTTTTATCTACATGATGCTTAAAATTAATTCACACTATTCTTAGATTCAGCTATAAGAAAGAAGTGGGACAAAGCCATTGTACATTTTAAACAGAGGGCCAAAATCCACTGCTTTAAATTGAGGGTTAAATTCCATGATTTTCATTTTTATTGCCAATTGTTTTAGGAAAAAAATAGAAGGCAGCTCTAAATATAACCTGCAGTCTCTGAAAAAAAAATTATATGACTGCTGTTTAAGTTTTACAAATGATAAATATTTATGAGTAGTTGCAGTTAGCTGATTTCAGCAGTCTTAGATTTAGGATGCAGAGAGTAGGACTGAACGTAGTCTAGGAAATCTAATTTAAAACTTGAGAATAAAATCCTTCTTTAAATGCCAAGTTGTTGTACCTGTATACAAAGGGTGCAACAGACCCTCCGGAACGGGGAAGCACCTAACAAGAGACCATGTCTAGAACAAATAGACTCTGTTATGAGCAGCACATCTGCAATGAAAATGAGTGATTTTTTTGCATTATACACGGTCCCATTTGAGTTTCTGCCTTCTGATTAGCCAAGGAAAAGTGAGAAGAACTAACTTCAAAGTTGCATACATGAGTACATATGGGAAATGAATGACAGATTTCTCAGCCAAACAAGTGTGCTGGAGTAATGTTGCCTTAGGCAAGGAATGGCAACTAGATACAACTTCTTATACAAGCAGCCCCCAGTAGATAATATAGCTCATGATTCAAATACCGTGGATGCTATTTTTACATTAAAAAAAAAAAAATCTGATCAATTATCTTTAAATATTGCATAGCTTCAAGCAAAGAGATCTGATGGATGTTTAATGGCACCAAAGAAAGTATAAACAATTTTATAATTTCCTGACAACTGTTGAGGTTGTTTAAATGAAATCATGAACAAGGCTGAAAAAGGAAAAGATTTTTTTAGGTGTACTCTGAAGGTGGGTGAGTAAACCTTTTTTGGTTTCTCCATCTTCATAATGTGCTTTTGGACTCACACTGACAGAAGGATGGTTTGATGGGAGCTACTTGAAAAAAAATGGGATTAAATTCTAAACCCTGCCATAGATTTCATGACTGGCACTGGGCAAGTCCCTCAATCTCACTTGCATTTCCCTTTTTCTTCTGGGTCAGAAAGAAGGAATTAGTCCTGCTGTCAATTCCCCTTGTGAAAATAAACTCATAAGAATCAGGAAGTTTATGAATACTATTGTTAACAAACTAAAAGGGGGAAGACCATATGAGAACTTGACCAAAACTATCTGGATTATGAATAATTTTTGGATAAATTTGGAAAATTTTGGATACTTTTTTAAAAACGTAGGTACATTTTGGGTCAGGAATACCAGGGTGTAGCTCTGGCTTGCACTGATGGTGCATGGAAGTGCTCTACACTGTTCTCAAGGCCAGCTCTGGTCTAGCTTTAGCACAGATCATCTGTCCAGAGCCCAGCAAACCTGCTGCACCTGGCTCACCATGGTCCATATGCCAGTAGTAGGACTGCACAGATGTGCCCTTCCCAAATTTAGGGTGGATCTGCAGCTGTCCCAGGGGTGACCTGTGCACATCAGCACCTGCAGGGGCTCCTCAAGGCAGCCAGGTCCCCCATGACCTGCCACCAGCTGTTCTGGCAGTGGAGCTGCTGATCCAGCTGCCTTGGTGCTGCTGCAGAACAGGGATGGGCCTTCTCCTGTGCGCCTCTGAACTCATATTTCCAACATCTGGCTCTTTTCAGAGAAACATTATTCTTTTTTGTTAATCCAAAATAAGTCATTACAGGAGATGTGCACAGAAGAAAATGCTTTAGTCTCTGCATGGAAACAAAGCGGGTACCTCCTCGTGGAGTTGAAATTACGCAGCTTTTGATGGATGTCT